AGGAGATAAGACTCTCACTTAGTGCAAGCTTAGCAGATTTGAGGCTCAGTATCTGCTTCTGAAGCCAGGAGACAGAATCCCTGAGTTCATCATTTCTTTCATCATTTTGTCCACTGAACTTAGGAGCAACCAACCACCTTCATTATGTTCCTTGTCCACATATGGTCAAAGGTATTACGTATAGAGTCAGTAAACTCCTTGCCTCATACATACATACACACACACACACACACACACACACACACACACACGGGTTTATTAAGTATTAACTTACACAATCACATGTCCCACAAAAGGCTGTCTGCAAGCTGAGGAGCAAGGAGACCCCAGTCCAAGTCCCAAAACTGAAGAATTTGGAGTCTGATGTTCAAGGGCAGGAAGTATCCAGCACAGGAGAAAGATGTAGGCTTGGAGGCTCAGTGAGTCTCTCCTCTTCACGTTTTTCCTGCCTGCTTTATATTTGCTGGCAGTTGATTAGATTGTGCCCACCAGATTAAGGGTGGATCTGCCTTCCCCGGCCCACTGGCTCAAATGTTAATCTCTTTTGGCAACACCCTCACAGACACACCCAGGATCAATATTTTGTATCCTTCAATCCCAATCAAGTTGACAGTATTAACCATCACACACTGTAATAAAAGTTATGAAAATGTAGTCTTCCTTTCTCTCTCACTCTCAGAATATCTTATCATACTGTACTCACCTATTTTCCAACTGCAGAAAGCAGAAATACAGATACAGGGAGACTACTCATCTCTTAATATGATTCATTTGGGCTGAAATCTGTTTCCTCTTGGGTCTCTGAGAATTGCCATATTTTAAAACCTTCTATGTGTATCATGACTTCTAAACCTCATGATAACCCCCCAAGGCATCAACATTAACCCATTTTACAAATGGGGAAATATTACTTAGATAAATAAAATACCCAAAGTCACACAACCAATGAGTCTTAGAATGGGAATTCAAATCCCAGTCCTTGTAACACCATGAGTCATTTTCTTTGTTTCATTTAAATTTGTAAGTGCATTCTAATTATACTACTAATGCAAATACTAATTTCATCTAAATATAAGATAAATTTTACATCAGCTGTCTTCTGAACATATTAAGACCAAGCCCTTATTTTGAAATATTTGATAAAAGTCACAAAGAAACTGCTAAACTCAAGAATAGTATCCCTTTAATCACTATAATGAAAACAGAAAACTTCTTTTTAAAACAATGACAAAACTTGATAAGCTATAGTCTTGTTTGATGTTAACATGAACTCTTCTTTGATCTTCAGTTTCTTTGTCTGACACCCTTGATTGCAACCCAACAACCATCCTCAGTCCCTTATCCCTATCTTTTTATACTTTAAAGGCTAATTTTCCCAGACTCTTTTGCATGTATATGTGGCCAGGTGATCCAGGTCTGCCTAATGAAAGTGAGAGTATGCCTTTCATTGATTAAGCAAACCACAGCTCTTTGCCCCTGTTCCTTTCTTCATGTTTAAAACAATGGTTTGATGCTTGGAATTACAGCAGCTATATTGTGACCATGAGCCAACATATCCAAGGTTGCTAGATTTAGCAAATAAATATATGTAATGGCCCACTAAAGTTTCAATTTTAGATAAAGTACGAATAAATTTGTAGTATATGTCCCAAATAATTTATAACATATACTACAAAGAGTGTAATTGTGTAGGTAATACACACAAACATGTATTACATATATATAAACTGAAGAGCTTAAGTTAGAGTCAACTTAAACACCAAATTCCACAAACTGTCAAAACCCTGAGTTTTGTTGTTGCTTTATTAAATTGTGAAAGGATAAAAGGAATGTAAAATATGTGTATGGCACAAAGAAAAACAATACACTGAACACTTTGTTAATTGCCACCTAGCCTAAGAAAAACAACAACCTCAAAGACAATCTCTATCCTGGATTTTGTGTTTAATCATCCTTTGCCATTTTAATAATTTCCTTGCTTTCCTTTGTTCATCTTTATCCCCTCTGAAAATCTAAGAATGGAAATAAGACCTTTGCCTTTTATGATACACTGAAGATAGCCTGACAATCTTCCTCCCCTTAGCCCCCAAATTACTAGGCTAACGAGAATTATGCAAAATTTAAAACCGGAAGGTGCTCTTCATCTTGATCCTCAGAAAAAAAACATGACAAAGGTTGATCTTTACAGAGGTAGTTAGGTTTCTAGATAAAAAGAGATACAAGTGACAAACCAAAGACAGAGGGAAATCCTAAACTTAGGGGGTTGAGGTTTTGGTCTTCGTGTGTTTTTAGAGAAGCAACTTCAACTTTCAGGTTTCTGAAAGGGCTCCCTGCTTTTCCTTCAGCTCAGTCCTAGGCAAGCAGACCCCCTGCCCAAGCCTCCCTCCTGAGATCCTGCATATGCTTTCTTGCTAAATGACTCTTAGCACCGTTATCTCCTCACGGGATACATCTGTTGGGTGCCTCGCATCCTCAGCTCCACTTTCATCTCTTCTATCTCAACACATTGTTTCCTCCACTCCTGGTGCCAGGGTGGAAGGAAGCCATCCCGCCCGGCCGCGCTTGGGGATTGGCAGCCAATGAATGATTGGCAGCGGGCATCTCTGTCAGAGCTTTGGCATGCTGCAGAGTAGAAGCCCCGTGCTAATGAATGCCATCTACACCTACCAGATGTGCCACTGGGTGACATGCCAGATCTTTTACATAATGCCATTCTGCCGGACACAAGACAGCTGGGGGGTGGGGAGGGGTGTCTTCTAATGCTTTGGGATGGGAGTAGATCTGGCTTTCCTTATTTTACTTCTTATTCAGACCACCCGCCACCACCCATACACCCAATCAGCTCCCTTTACATTGGGCCAAGGCTCAGGGCATCTCTCTCGGAGACAGTGGCGAAGCAGGAGAGTTTGGGTTCCCAGGACATAACCCCCTGTCCTCTGGCTCTCCTCCATGCTCATCATTTCCTTGAGTTCGCTCCCTGCCTGCATCTAGATTCAGGAAAGGGAAATAGCTTTCAAAATTAAAGAAATAAAAGCACTAATGGGATCTGAAATGAAAGGAAGGAAGGGGAAAAACTACACTTCCCATTCCCGTCCCTAATATTCTCTTCTTCCCTAGTCTGAATGTGCAAGGATGAACTTCCCACACCCCACCCCTTTGGCAGCTTCTGTTCTTTCCTCTTCCACCGTACACAGGAAACGGGAGAGTGTTTATCCCCAAGGGTGATATCCTGTTAGTGCCTGTCCCACGTTCTGGCTGAAGTAGCTGTATTAAGGTGGAGTCGTCCAAAAATCCGTACCGTTTGGGGAGGAATGTTTCCTGGAGTGGGATGGACAAAGTGGGAAGAGAGGAAAATGAGCAAACCACTTCTGATGGACAGCGTGTGCGTGAGCGTGTAGGAGTGCTTGGGTTGTCCTCGCCCACCCAGCTCTCCATCCCCAGAGGGAGAATGACAGGAGGAGGCTGGTGGTTGCCAGGATGGTCCCCTCTCTTTCGCTAAACCTGCGGATACTGGGCTGCCCTGTAATCCGCGGGACTTGAGAAGGGCAGGCCTCCGCTCCTCCTCCCCAGGGGCCATGACCCTCACACACCCCCACCCCCACCCGCCACACCACCCCTCTCGCGACACACACGCAGTACTTGGGGCGACTGGGCGCCACTCCCACGCCAGAGCCCTGCCCCGCGCCCGCCTGCGGCCGAGCCGCCTGGCCCCTTCTCTTGTACCCCCACCCCCGCCCGCTGCCTAGGCTCCAGATGGCGGCTCCTTGCGCTCGGCTCGCGGCCCCCAGACGCCGCCCGGCAGCAGCCGGCGGTCGCTCCCTCCCTCTCAGCTGCTGCAGCAGAGACCGGGGCCATTTCGCGAGGCGGACGGGCTCCTCGGCAGGTTTGGATTGGGGTGGGAACGCGGCCGCCGAGGGGCCCGCAGTAGCTGCGCTCACAGGGAAGGAGCCCCACAATCCCCAGGTAAGGAAGCCGCGGGGCAGGCGCAGGGCGGGGAAGGAGGAGTCTGAGCGTACCGGTACCCAACCCTCTCTCTTTATTGACCTTCCTCCCCTCTGCCCCTTCATCCTGGGCGCGGAGGGCGGAAGTTTCTGGAGCAGAGCACCGGCGAGAAGCAGGGAGCGGCCGCACAGCAGCCAGAAGGGGGCGCCAGCACCCTGGGGCCGGTGCTACCGGGTTGGCTCTGCCGGGGCGTTCCGCCCCCGCCCCGGGGAACGGTCCCTAGGCCCCACAGATGCCCCCTTCCGCTGGAAAGCGGTAATGCCCTCCGCCCACCGCTACACCCCTTCCCCATTTTTCTCAGTTCTAACTGTACTCCTCTCTCGTTTCCTTTTTGCTTCTCTCTCTCTCTCTCCCCCTCTCCTTCTCCCTCTCTTCGTCTCTCTATCTTTCTCTCTGCCCTTGTTGTCTTACTTCCCCCTCCCTCCCCGCTTACACCCCGGCACTTTTCCTTCTCTTTTCTGATCACTGGCGTGGGGGGAGGTTTTGTCGCCTGCCGGGAGGTAGTGTGGAGGGGATGGACGTGTTTCACACTCAGACTCTGGCTCTGGCTCCTCTCCTTAGGTGCCTCCCTGGGTGCTCGCGAAAGCAGCCCTGAGAATGGCAGCTCTCAGAGGTAGAAGTTATTCTTTTCGAGGGACAGGGCACGGCGACTGTTTGATTGGGGGGTGAGTTATGCATTTGGAGCAGCGCTTCCCTGGAATGCAGAGCTGGGGATTTCCCTTGCAAGACGGATGCTTGAAGTTCAGTGGCTTAGTACTGAGCCCCTTTCTCCCACCGAAAAGTCATGACAGTCAAGAGTGTCTCTCTCTCTCTCTCTCTCTCTCTCTCTCTCTCTCTCTCTCTCTTTCTCTCCCTCTCTACCGCTCTCCAGAACCCTAAAGACAGCCTGCCCGGACAGTCTTCACCGTTTTTATCAGAAGCAGTTGCGCTGGGGGTGGGGAAGGGGAGGGAAGGGACATTGAAAGGCCGCAGTGGCTGGCATCTCCGGGCCCGTCCGATGTCCTCTCTAATCCCCCAGTGTTCTGGCGCGTGCCCACAATGCCCCCAGACCCTCCGCTCGCCCGTGCGCCCAGGTCGTCGGGTTTTAGACCCAGAGAGCACGTTCCGTAAGCTCCCGGCCCAAATCCCCTCGGAAAAATTAATCACAACGACCAGCGGATGCAAAATGTGTGCCTGTGTTGAGTCTGTCTTTTAATCCCGAACGTAATTCTAAAAAGCAGCATCAGACAAGAGCTTTATTAATCCCTTACACGAGCAAATGCGATCTCTGACCTACTAGACTTGTTTTCCTGCAATTTCACAGAGTTAGCCTCGCTAGAGGAATGTGCAAGGACAGAAGGGAAACTGAGGAGACCCGCGGCTCATTAGCGAAATAATAGGGTGCACTTCAATACAAATGCGGTCCTGAAGTGGAGTGGACTCACCGGCAAGGAGCCCGGAAAGTCGACAGGGGCGGCGGCAAAGTGAGTGATGGGGATTGGAGAAAGGGGTAGGATTGGAGGAAGGGCCTCAGGCACAGTGTGGTTGGGAGCTGGAGTGGGAACCCAGTTCTGTCTCTTCCGAAGGCTTAGGACCCATGTGACTTAATTTAGGGACTGTCCCCTTTCGAGGGCACTAGGACAACTGGAGGGGCGCACCTGCCATACGGATGAGTTCAGAGTTTGATCTCTTGGGGCCTGTTTCTCACACTTGAGATTTCACTATCATGTCGTTCAATTAATCACATTTCCCTTCTCCCATTTTATTCAAAACCATCTTCCAGTTCCCTCATAATCGTAATTTGCGTCATTGCCTTTTATCGTTGATTAATTAGGAAGCCGAAAATGATAATGGAGGGTCAGGCCAATAAATTAGCTTTAGGAACAGACAGACGGACGTCCGAGGTTGCTGCATGGGTGGGCACTGTGGCCGGGGCCACCGTCGCTGCGGCGCTGCGCAGGAAGGGGTTAAGGAAAAGGCGCTTGGTACTGGCTGAATGGAGAGATCCACTCTGAAATAAACCCGGTGGGCACAAGGGAAAACTTCTCACTGCACTAAGTGGAGAGAGTCCTGTGACGCTTAGCTTTTCCCGTTTGGTATAGAAAAGGAAGGACTGGTTTGGTATAATAATGGAGAAAAAGGAAGGCTGGGGTAGGATAAGAGTCAGACTCCTGTTTCTTTCAGAGGCCTCCCTACTAGTGGGTAAACAGGTTTAAAGTATGGGCCTTATTAGGAGCCTGTTTTTTTTTTTTTTTTTCCAGAACTGGAATGTTAGATTTACTTTTGCATCCTTTCCTTCCTCTTTCCACTTACCTACTGGTCTGAAAGAGGGAAGAAAGAAGGGAAGAAATGAGGGAGGAAGGAAGAGAGGGGAGAGAGAGAAGGGAGGGGAGGGAGGGAGAGAGAGAGAGAGAGAGAGAGAGAGAGAGAGATTGTTAAGATCAGATCAGTTAACTCCCTGGCCAAAAAGGAAAGTTGCTAATGTGGAGTTCTCCCTGCCCTCAAAGAAGCAGCAGCTCTGGGTGAGTAGGGTCTCCTCTTTTCTCCCTTCATGAAATCGATCACGCCTCCAGAGGGCTGAAGGAGAGCACTTTGCCACTCTTCACAGCTACACCCTGGCCTCTTTAGCTTTCAATTGAAAACCAATTAAAGGTTTCTATAAATCTGTTAGTGCCCTTTTATCTGGGGACCCCTGATGCATGCGATATTGCCCTTTAGATGCCTCTTCCGTGTTTTGTTTTACAATTGTTGTATCAATATAATGCAGCCTTTCTTCTCCTGTCTCTATAGATACAGATACACAAGGAAAACCAAAGCTATTCAGGCTCCTCATTTGTCCAGCAGCCTAACAGTGGTGCCCTTTCTCTGCTGCTGCTTTCCCTGCTTCGGGAGCAGCAGTTATGGTAGAAGCAGATGGCTACTGATTGGGGGAGCTTTGTGGCTCTAATACTGAATACTTTATGGAAAAGGACTTTATCATGCTTCGTTGGGCAGAGGAATAAGGGATGAGATTTATGGCCAGGAAAAATAAATCTTTTTCCAAGTTGTGGCTCCTTCTCACCAATGTCTCCTTTGCCCCGGGGGTAGAACACTGAGGAATTGGTTTTATTTTATTCTCCTTTTTGCTAATGGAACCTTTTAGTCAGGATAGTGGACTAAGAGCTAGAACTTTACGAAATACCCCAGGTTGTGGCTGTATCACCATTCTCTGCCCTCAGGAAAAAAAAAAAAAAAAGCAGAAGAACATCATTTTGAATGCTGTTTCAGGCCATGTTTTCTTGGATGTCCTCTTAGTTGATGGGTAAAATATCATTGTCCATTATTTTATTATCTATGAAGAACAGAAAAGAAGGATGATACTGGTGTTGAAGGAGAGGGGGAAAGGATGGGGCATTTGGTGATGCAGGTATGCTTCTCTACTTTGAGAGGGTCTGAGCTGTGAAGATAATTAGGGGATGTCTGCGAATTTAGGGTTTGGGGCTCCAAATTGAATTTCCAAAGTTTGGGGAATATACGGAGTCCAACCCTATACTGGAGGCCTAATTCGCCCCAAGATAGTGCATATCGTTTCTCTTTTCTTCTCTTCACCTGAGTTTTACTTCTCTAACTTCTCTTGAGTCAGGTTTACTCTGTGTCTGTTGTTGGGTTGTGCCCCTCCTCTATATGCAAGGGGATGCAACCTCCGGCTCCTCCAGTCCTCAGAGTCTTTTCTTCTAGAGTAATGTCACGCCCCCTTCCTGAGATCTATAACATAAAGTCACACAGAAATGCTCCTATAGAGTCCCAAATGCCTACTGGCAACCTGGCACCAAGAGATGGTAGTCAATCCCAACTCTGGGTCTCCATTCCCATTTCAGACAGACTCTTTGTCTCCTTGATTTTTGAAATGTCATTTTCTGTTCAAGAAACATTTGTTGAGTGTCTTCCATGTTCCAAGTCCCTTTTCTCTGCCTTTTCAATTATTTTACCTTGTATCTAAACACTAAAGAGAAAAGGCCAGGAGGACAAGCATTCAACTTCCACAAGGGTCCCCTAACTTTCTGCCACAAGCTACTCCCTTCCAACTCTCCAGGCACTACCACCCCACACACTGACATACATCTTTGCATCTTGTTTCTCTCCAAAGAGGAAAAAAAGTAGGAGGAGAGAGCTGAGATTTTTAAAATTCTATTTACCCAGCATTCCAAAGCAGAGGACACTGAGATGCTTTAAACTTTGGGCATTTATTTCGTGCTAGGCTGAATGCTCTGCCAGCCTCATCACACTTAATTCGCATGCTGATCCTTTACGTATGATGTTATTGATGTTAAATATTATAATATCCCTATTTCACAGATCCCCCTGCTTCACAGGAACCAAAAGCATAGAGATGCTAACTAACTCAAGCAAGTGGCCTAGCTGGGATCTGAACCCAGGCTTGACCTGCAATATTCATAGCCACTCTATGAAACAGATGTTGTCTTTACTATTTTACAAATGAAGATACTAAAGTTCAGAGAGGTTAAGTGATTTGCTCAACACACAGGTAGGAGATTATAGACCCAGGGTTGAGACCTGAGTGTTCAAAATCCCAAATATCAAACTCTTAACCACTGCCTCTTGGATCCTTCAGAAGGAAGAGCAACTGGGAACCCACAACTGACCGCTATGACCTGATTCCCAGTCCTAGACTGGGCGGAAAGTTTCATATAACGTGAGACGGTGGGCGTGGGGAAAATGTAAATCTCCCATTCAGGGCTGCGCCTGCGCGGAAGCGGCGTGGTTTAGGAGAAGGAGGCTCCGCTGGGCTTCGGGAGCCAGACAGGGGGCTCCGTCTGTCATGCGGCCCACAGTGCTCCGCTCGAAGCCAGCGTGCGGGCGCTGGAACAAGGAGTGAGGGCAGCCACAGGGGGAACCCGCCCTGCACGAAGCTCCAGTGCCAATGATGTAGCTGCTGCCTCCGGGCACTAGTTACCTCGTCCTGCCAAGCTCCAGTACTTGGGCGTGTAGGCGAGGGCTGGAGCCATCCACCCGGTCCGCATCTGAGCCACAGCCCTTCACAGGAGTGGGGAGGTCACGCGCGCTGTAGGAGGCCCAGAGCCCTGGTCAGCATTGGGAGGCCTGGTCCTCCAGGTTTCTCTGCTCACCCCCAGACCTCGGCTTTTGGCCGCGGTGCTGGAGTTTACCATTAACGTGTTCACATGCTTCTCATCCCACGGAGTCGCTCGGATGAGCCTTTAACTCCCTGACTTACCCGCGTTTCTAACGTGGCACCGCGACCCTGACCCTTCGCACCTCCACCAGGCCTAAAGAAAGAACTCTCAAGATGGGCATGGGAGGATGGAAGTCAAATATCAATCTACCAGGCCGGCCTTCCGCAGCAAACTGATTGCTCTTCCATTAAACCTGGGGTGGGGGTGGGAGGTGCGCGGCGCGGGCGGGGAAGGAAGGAAGGGATGACTGCCTTTCCTTCCGTTTCGCCCTAGAAACTTCGGGAAATCCTCAGCCCTCGCTGGGTCACTTGGAAAGTGGGTGGACAATACAGTTCCCAGTTTTCTAATAAGGAAGCAAAGGCAGTGTTAGTAACAATAGGCAGCTCTGAAATGGGCATTTAGTATGTACCAAGCCTTGTTCTCTGCTTGCTAAGTATCAACTCAGCCCTAACTTTATGAAAAGGGTCCCTTTTATGCCCTCAGTTCACAGATGAAGGACTGAAGTACAGTCCGGTTAAATTACCTGGGGGGGCCTGGGATTCGAACCCATGCAGTCCTGGTTCCCCTATGGAGTTGTGGGCTTTCCTGAGCCTGAATTGTTGGTCCTTCTTCTTGGGTCAGTTCTCCAGACTTCTAAGGAGAATGTTCATTAATGAAAGCATTGAGACCATCTCGTGTCCAAGACTGAAATGAAACTAGCCCTGGCTTTTGGAAGTGATCCCTTACCATCTGCTCAGCAACTGGCTTTCCAAAGCGCGTTCTCCCTCGTTCCCTTAGAGTCCTCACTGCGATCCGGGAGGCAGCTCTTGCCAGCTTTAGTTCAACCGGAGGAAAACCAAGGCTGAGGTAGGTCACCGGCAGCCCAGCTAGTGAAAAATGGGAACACAGGCTCCTGCCCCGCGGGAGGAGATCCGGCGACCAGCTGCTCGAGGTCGTGCACAGAGGCAGGGAGACAGGGTGGTGGAAAGAGTGTTAGGTTCCCGGAGACCCCGCCCTTGGGACGCCTTTCCGCAGGTAAAGTGGTCACCTAGCGGGAAGCAAGTGATGGCATTAATTGCCGATGGAAGGCTAAAGAACAAGGGAAATGTGGCGGGCCTTTGGGAACTGCATTTCCTCCCTGCTTCGCCCAGGGTTCATCTGGAGCGTACCAAGCGCGCAGCTTGGCCCCACACTGCCCCACATTCACGGTTTGTGCACTGTGCCCCTACAAGGGCGACGCCGGGCAGATGATGGCTTGTTTTGTTCTGCCCTGGTCGCCTCCTGTGTCAGGGCTCTGCACTCTTTGGTGAATCAGCTCAAATGATGTGATCTGTGTCTGCGCCTCCTGACACTGTGGGGGCGTTGCCCTCCTTGGATCTCTCCCAGGGAAACCTGGTTTGCCCACATTGAAGTCCCTCATTTGACCTTCTCTGCACTCTTAGTTCTGTGGCTGTACCTTTCACTAAGACATCGGCACCGGACAATGTAGACATCAAGAAGTGTTCGAGTCTAGCAGGCACTTCTGTGCCTTGTCTTGCTTCCCAAACTCAGGACGCAAACTCAGCTATGTGGGGCCTTGAAGAGGAGCCGCTAATTCAGTCCCGCAGGTTAAAAATAAAACTCGTTGCACTCAGTGCGTTGGCATTGGCTTTCTCGAGGGTATTTTCAAAAGTTCAGGGGAACCCCACTTATCTGGAACACAGATGTCTTAGGACTTCAGTGTTAAACTGAGTTTAGAATATAGATAATGCTGTGGGGTAGCTGATCACACACACAAGATATTAGATAGTAACATTATACTCAGGATATATTCTTTACAACTCTATTCAATTTGCTCCCTTGGGACCAACTGCTGTCCTGAATGATTTCACACAAACTATTTTCTCGATACCATCTTACATGAAAACATACAAAAAAGAGAACTGGCTTCTTAATGGACAAGCATCCAAGTAAAATGACAGTCCTACAACTTATTTTTAATTGATGCCTTTGACAACATTCACCCCAACCTTCTTAAACACACACCCATACCCATATATGCATAGAGGACCATTTCTGCTCAGGTATAAAGTTATTCAGGCCTAAGTTAAATTCTAGGCCTAGCAAATCTCACCATCTAGGTCATTATATTCAACATGTTTATTCTTAGGAATTTATGAGTGTTTTATTTAGCAATTCTGGGTATTATTTCTTTTAAAAATATGAGTTTTCATTTAAACTTCCTTAAAAGGAGATTATGAATAATATTATGGTTACCATATTACATTACAGATACTATCAAATCAGCCTGGGAGGCAGCTTTTCACTCGCAAGTTCAAGAGAACACATATGTTGCAATCCTTGCCTATTCTTGCCTCCACTTCATAATGTAAGTCCAGAAGTGTTTATAGTAGTCATGATGTTGCTGCATTTGTGACATGTTGATCTTTGATTTTTTTTTTAGGAGACCACGTTTCCAAGTATTAGCAGTGAGGAAAGACTGACATTGGTAGCTTTCAAGTGTTTGTGAAAATCTTCTGAGAACTAACAGCTTTTCATATAATGTTTTGGGAGACATCTCCCATTAATGCTAAATTAATATCCCTGGATTAAATCATAGAACACCTGGGATTAATTGAACTGAAATAATACAGTTTTCACTCAGAGTTCAGTTGGCAATATGAGCAAGGGAGCAGTTCGGGAGGATAATTTGTGAAGAAATTGAACCATATTTCCAAGACTTTTTAATACAATGTGAATCATCACTATTGTGGCTCCTAACTGGTATATACTTCTCAAATCCTCTCTGTCTCTCTCTTTCTTCCTTTCTTTTTACTTTGTCTTGCTTCTCTCTTCCTTGAGAAAATGAAACATCTCTCTCTTTGGGCCTCAGGAAAGTGTACCATGGGTTTATTCCAAGTACTGGACATTTGTGTCCCCTGCCTAGACCCCTTTCCCAGAAGAGCCATGCTGTCTGCTGCTTTTTCCCCAGCAGCCCAAATTCTCACAGTCCGTGCCTCAGAAAGCTAACTGGGATTAGATGCCAAGAAGTGTATTCTGCCCAGGATATATATGCTATGTGTCTATCATTGCCTGTTTATTTAACTCAGGAATTACAATCCACCTAAAACAGAGAGGAAAAGGGTGGCACAGAGTTACTGAATCTTGGGATGATGTCCATTCTTCTGGTTGTGTGAAGAAATTTGATGTAGAGCCTCTCAATGTTGTCACATTCCCAAGGCCTAGAGTTAGACTTCTCAAATTCTCATTTGAGACTGCTGGACACCAATTTGAGACTGCTAGACATCCCCTGATCCCCAGTCTGCCTAAAAAGCCTGACCCAGAGGGTAAGGAGGTTCAGAGTGACTGATGGAGACGTGGCTACAACCAACCAACCCCCCTCACACTGAGATGCATTCAAAGGGTGTGGTGTCTGAGTCTAGGAAGGACTTTGGAACCTATGGATTTGACAAAAATCCAGGTCTTTTCTTGCCAGATCGTTATACACTCATCTTGGGAGAAGTATAGAAGTTGGGAGAATCCAGGGGGTCAAAATAGTGGATATTGGATTTGGTTCAGAGGTCACACTCACACAGATGAGTATGAGGCACTTATTTCATACCTCTTGGTAGTTTTGCACAATGTCACTTCAGTTTGCTAGCCCATCTAAAAGTCATAGTCAGAGGCCATTAAGCCAGTTGACTACAACCCAGATCCAGGAGAGGAAGAGAGTAACATATAGCTTTCAAAGACTATCCCATTCTCAGCTGAACTCCAACAGAAGTGTAAGTAAAACTTGGGAACACTCAGAGAGAAAGTTTTAAACTTGAGAAAGGTAGATTATCATTGTAATGATAATGGTGGTAATAGTAGCTACAGGAGCAGCAGGATTTAAAGCTGGACCATTTATGAGAAAAAGCCCAAGAGAGAAAAGTGTGAGTCAGGAGTAATGATCCCTACAGTTGGGATCCTGAAGTCCTTCCTCACAGGCTACAAAATTACCCAACTCTAAGTCTCTGGCTTTCCCAGGGTCAGCCTGGAAAACATTTGCTTATGTAATACTCAGTGAGCCAACTACAATACTTAGTGTGAGGAACAGACCCAAACTGAGTTTGCAGTGTATACTTATAAAAAACAAGTACCCCTCCCCACACCCCACTCCTTCACATCATTGTTTATCCAACTCAGAAGCATGCCTCTTCTCACCAAGATGTAAAACAAACAAACAAACCAACCAACCCCTCTGGGTCTTTTTAAAAAACCCACCATGTATCATTCTCTTGATAAAGGCAAAGTGGTAGAAAATGAGTTAACAACCCTCTGAACAACATTTTTTGCACAGGCCTGGTGTTTTTCTTAATTGACCAGCCCATCATTTCTGTTTCTCTTTCATGTACAAGTAGTCAATAAGGTTTATCCCCTAAAAAGTTCCTTATTTTGAATGGTGAGGCTAGGTAATGCAATTCTCCTCCTTGAAGATCTATTCTCTGCCTCCCTCAACCCTCACAGCCCCTTCCAGAGACCTCCCTGTGGGAAATTAATAAGCTTAGGAAGGAGCTGCCACTGTCTGCTCCATTGGCATCCTCTTATCTTCCAGTGTGTGGGGTTTTTTCCCCCCTTTCACCATGAATTGCCATACTCTTTTGACAATCAAGCCTTTGTTGGCGTAGTGCTTTGGCAATAGAGTTAGAGGTGAGTAAGCCAGAACCTAGAAAGATATAGAAAAAGAAAATCAGTGTGTTTTCATTCTCATAGGATAATAATCTTTGTGTGAATTATTCTTGGAGATGTTACCTGCGTCTTACCAAAGAAGTTGAAATATTTTGGGCTCCATTTTTCAACCCTGGGAAGAAAAAGGGTATTCCCATTCTAATACTCACTAAGAATTAAAATTCCCTTTCTTACCCTTCCTCCACCCTCTCACTTTGGTCATAAAAGGCACCTCGGGTATCATTTCAACCTCTCTCCAGCCCACTCTTCCAAAATAACACTACAGTTTCCTACATGTGTATTTTTGCCAGGACTCCAAAGAGCCTTGCTAAAGTGGAACAAGGTGAGCATGCCCACTCTTCATTGCCATTCTTCTAATTACTTAACTGGAAATAAAATCCTAGGGAAGAGAGCTCCAAATATATGCATAAACCCATTGTTCCATGTGAATTACATAAAACTGTTGACTAGGTACATTTTTATAGTACTGTCTGAGGCTGAATAAATGCCTCAACCCTTCATTTAGTATCAGTGAATTCCAGTAAGTGTTAATGCAGAGTGATTTCAAAGTAGTTTATGTACCATTTTAGCCCATAAATTTCTACAGGAATAAAAATAATTTGTAGATTTTCTTTATCCCCTATTAATGATTGTCATTTAGGACATTTATATTACCAAGCAAAATGTGTACCACTTAAATTACTAGAAAACTCTCCAAGTAAGAACTTTGATTTAATCTTACTTATATTGTTTTGTTATGTCAGTTATTTAACTCATAATAAGAAGGGTAGGTCAGATTCATAAAATGTGAGAAATTCTTATATTTAAGGATCTTTATCTGAAAGCAGTAGGAAAAACATTAATTAGAGGTTAAAAAAGTAAAACTGAAATGAAGCATCTGTTGGCCAGTTTCTCAATAAATCACTCCCTTCTCAGATGTATAAAATCGTCGCTGTTTTCTAGCTTGAGACTTAAAAAGGTCAAGCTGTTCCACCTTGAACTTAAGTATCAAAAACATTATTTTATACAAACTGGAGTCAAGGTTTTAGTACCTCAAAAGAAACATAGTTTAAATGGTCTCTATATCTAATAAGAGAAAGGCCAGGCACAAGAAAAATGCCTTCCATTTAGAGTTTATTTTCTAAATGTCCACATTCTGGAGTAGAGGCTTATATATTTACAATATGTAAGGTAATTTTTTAATGCTTTGCATGGACAGATGACTTTTCCTGAAAGATAAACTTCCAATGCTCTAAATAACAGCAAAAGAAAGCACTAAGGAGTGTTCTGTTCAACAGATTAATGAAATTATGTTCTTAAACACCATTCCTCACGCACCATATTGCATTTATCAGTCTGTAGTTTCTAAGGGACCACATGACTCTCTTATGGCTACTTTTCTTTATTAACTGGAAGTTGTTTGCAACCATGCCTCTTCTGCCCTTTACTTTTCTTATTTCTTCTACTCGGAATTAACTTACGTTTCTGGCCACTATTCTTCAAACCTGAGGTTTATTTTCCAGATGTTTGAGACATTATTTTCACATTTCTAATTCTTCCATTCTTTAAAGAAGTATTAGGGGACAATGTGTGCATGCTTTTGTGTGTGTGTGTGTGTGTGTGTATGTGTGTGGAGAGAGAGAGAAAGAAGTGAATCTAGTATTCAGTGGAGCAATCAGTTATAAGACAATTGGTAGCTCAGTACAGCTGCAGATTCTTATATACAGACATGTGAGAGAGCCCTCGTTGCACTAAGCCTTGATCATTAGGAGTCACCCTTAGCTGAAGTACATAAAATTGCACATAGCCAAAGTATGTAAAACTGCACTTCAAGAAGCTTTCTTTGAAAAGTCAGTAGCTAACCTGAAAACTAAGGAATTCCCCACTTTCTCTCAAAATATGGGGATTTGACAGCCCTTCCTTCTGTGAATTTCAGCTTAGTTCTAGGCAGCAGTTCAGAACTTGCATGGGGTACTGACCGGAAGAGAGAAGGAAACACACACACACACACACACACACACACACACAGAGAGAGAGAGAGAGAGAGAGAGAGAGAGAGAGAGACGGAGAACAAGGAAGAAAATGAACTTCATGGGAAAGTCCTTGCACTTGTTTCTCCTCAGGAAAATCCTCCCCTGGCCTCTTGGGACTGCAGTCACTGGGCTGTCCAAGCCTCTATACTCCACTGAGTTCCAGAGAAGGGTCTCAAAGCTGGGAGAGGATCAAACTAACATGGTAAGCTGCTTTTTGCCAACTCCCCTAATACATTATTTCAACAACAACAACAAGGAAAAACAACACCAAGGAGGCTGTCTCCTTAAGTTGTGGTTGTACCTCCTCCACTTTAGCCAGCTGCACAATCCGATTTATCCTAATGCTGACAGATTGCCCACTTCAAAGTAGTGGTGGTGTGGGTGGGGCTGAAGAAGTTGAGAAACTATCTATACCACTCAAAGGCCTTTCTTCCCTTAGGAGTAGAGAATTGAACTGTGAAAAAGAAGCCGGAGATCCCCCAGCGAAATGGTGTTGCATCCCCGTTGAAGGAGTCAACTTGCAGGCTATTAAAGACCTCAAGTCATTAGCATCAGCTGCTGCACTAAAAGGGCAAGTCAGCGCCTCTAAGTGGCTTAGCGCACAAACGAGGCTCCCGAGACGGCCTTGGCAACTCCATCCCCTCCTCCACCACCCACTGGATGCGAAAAGCTTTCCGGAGCCCATCTTGATAATCATTTTTATTTTGAATCACCCTTGCCTCGCAACCCCAAGACCTCAGAGTGCCAACAGCACCCGTTATAGGACTCCCTCTGGGGCTGTGCAGATTTTGCACGAAGCAGAGGGCAAAAACAAAAAAACAAACAAAAAAAACAGGAACTGTTTGAGTCCACTAACCTGCGCTCTTCCCACCAACCTCCGGCACCCCACCTCCGCCCACGTACCCGTGTCCTGGGACTAGGAGGTACCGTTATGTCCCCTTCCGAGGTCTGGTGACATTCTCACTCCAACCTCATCTCCCGAGCCATGGGAAGGCTGAGCCAAGTTCTCACCAAAGCGCATCCTTTCTGAATTTTGCAGGGGGAAGCTTGGTAGTGTTGGTGCTCCTGAAGAGAGACGACGCCCGTTTATCAACCTCAGGCAACTAGCGGCGCAAATCAGCGGTGGCTCCAGGGCTAGAGAATCCCTGGGGCTAACCGCACCCCTCTCCCTTTCACGGAACGTGGACTCCGGGGAAATACGCTCGGGGTCCGCACGCGCTGGGTGTCCAGCTCTCTGTCATAGCTTCTCCAAGTGCCTAGTGAAACGGGGAAAGGCCCTCTCCAATCCTTTTGGTACCTTCCTTTCCAATCCTGAAACGATTTTCCCCTCCTAGCCGTCCCAGAGGGCCCGAGCTTTAGGAAGAGGCGGGCCGGGACGCTCTCTGAGAGGCGTTGCCACCCGGGGTAGGCGCTCATGATCTGCGGGGCGCGGGCAGGCCGGGGGGAAAAAGCTGCGAGGCAGGCGGCGCCGGAGGGAGCTCCTGGCCCAGCAAAGAGTTAAAGGGAGGGGACGTGGGCTGTCACGCGTCATTGGGCAGATTATGTGCAGCAAACAAAAAGTGTGTGTCTGCGTGCCAGTCAGTCACTGCATCGGGTCCATCTGTACAACTCTCTCCGTTTCTCCGTCTCCCTCTCTCTCTCTCTCTCCCTCCCTCCCTCCACCCCCCAATCTTTTTCTCCCCATCTCTCCATCTCTCTCTTATCTCTTTAGGAAAAGCCTAAAAGACGGCAACACCAACACCTCTTGACATGGAAATACACTGATACAATAGGCAAAAAGAAACACTCGATTGCATCTTCCGGGTTCCAGGTGGCCTTATTTGGTAGAGTCTATACTGACCTTATTCCTGGTAAGTCTATTTGCATTGATGTGGGAGGGGGATGGGAGGAAGGCAGTTTGGTGGAAAGAGTAGAAAATTTTGTCTTCCGTCTCCTTATTATCCAGAAGAGAGAGAAAAATAATTCTTGAGGGGCTCTCTACTGCCAGGAATATTGTACAAAAGGAGGAGCGGGTGGGGAGCACTTTGCCGGAGAAGCCAGGGACTGGGGAGCGCGCGGCCGCCAGACAATGCCTGACTAGAGGGACGGGCTAGCGGCGGGCAGCAGCGACCGGCTTTCAGAAAGCCCCGCCGGCTCTGGGGTATATTCCCAGGGCAGGCGGATAAGAACCTGGGCCCAGAGCGGGCACGGAGCTGTGAAACGTTGGGTGGCAAAGGCGACCGCACGCGGGCGGGCGCTCCTAGGCTCTTCCCCAGCGGTTATTGTGACGGGCTTGAGGCTCGTGGCGGCTGGCGCGGCGACTCCGACCGCTATTAGCGCGGCGGAGTGAGGACCTTTTCACCGTATTGTTAGGTAGAACTGCATTTTAATGACTGTGTCCCTGCTGTTGCCCGAAGTGACGGGGGCGACCTCCCAGCACAATGAAATGCTTGTGTGAAAGAGATTTTTAAAAGGAAGAGAGAAATTGGGGCATAAAAAACGCTGAATTGAAGGAAATTGAAAAGAGGAGAATAGGATTCCGTTGAAAATGAGATGAGAGGTTATGGGTTTTTTAAAATGTATTTTAATTTGAAATGAAAAACCAGGATGTCTACCTTGTATGGGGAAAAAATGTCCAGGGATAGATGATGTAGAATAATAAAGTTTCTTCTTTATGGATATTTTCCCTTATTTCTGCTGTCTGGTAGATACAGCCCAACACTTGACATTTGGGGGATGCAAGAGGATGAATGGAAAATGAGACGAACCAAAGTTTTAGGCTATGTTAGCTGGAATGGGGGGAAAAAGCACACCCTGTAGTCACACGTGTAAGGTTAATTGGTTAATATAAATTAAAATAAAAACAGACGTCACTGATATTATTCCATAATGAACAGCTTTGCAGGAAAAGAATTAGATCTACTCTTTCCTGTTACTTTAATTATACAAAACATACATAAATAATTGCCAACGGTGACATTATCAGGGAACAACAAACTTGGAGGAATCTTTTGATTAGTTTGAAATACTAAGCAATGCAGCTAGTTCAAAGCTAGTTAAAAAATTTAAACACCTGTTTCTTTTTTTCTTTCTTTCTTTTTTTTTTAATGATAAGTCTTGTATGGGGTGTCCAGAGGAAGGAAAATGTTCCTTTATGACAGCTTAATAGAGAACCCTCCATTGGGGCATTACTTTCTAAATTGCTGTGGATTAAACAGCTGGAGAGCCCACTGAGGAGTGCTCAAGGAGGGCTGCCCCCTCTTGCCCAAAAAGGGTCATATGGGGTAGGGGGAGTGAAAATTTACCAGTCATTACACACAGTATTTCAGACTGGGGACACTTTAGGCCTGCCCTGTACCTGCTCACTTCATGAGCTACATGTGACTCAATCCACCCCCTTGTATAACAAGATAACCGGGATTCACTCTCATCCATAAATAAGCATGTCCAGAAAAAAAATTACCTCTGCTTGCTGCTTTTAATTAAAGCCTCAGAGGAACAGTGTTGGATTATGGTAATGAGCAGACATACGTCCCTTCTTGTAGGCTGCAGAGAAAGGTTAGCTGACACAGAATTAGTGGCCCTGACACTCCACTTGAAATCCATTCGCCATGCTCCGCTGTCTCTGCCTGCTCACTAACGCTGCTCCCCTCTTTGGAAGAAAAGGAAAAAATCAGCTCCCGGGCACCCAGTTCAATACATAGGCAGAGGCACTTTTCCCCAAGGGTTAGAAGTTTCTTTCAGTAAGGGAAGTCTATAGGCTGGTTAAAATATATGTGCGTGTGTGTGTGTATAATATATTAAATTATAATATAATATATAAAATACAAGTATATATATATAATATATATTCTGCCTTGAACTTCACCTCCAAAACCTACCCAATCCAACATCAAGGTAATGCAAAAATGATCTAGTCTTTCTAGCCCTTTCTTTTCTTTCTTCCAAGCAGTCAGCTCCAGATTTCCCACTATTCTAATTATTTTAACAAGTATCTCTTAGTTTTCATCTTTAAAATATGCCATGTTTATCTCCTATAATTTTGAAATAAGAGCTATGCAAAAATCAGGCAGGTACAAGGAAAATCTGCCTAGTATTTGAACAGTTCTGCCTAGGTTAATGGCAGTAGAAGCAGTATTGTAACTCACTTTCTTGTGCTGTGTGTCTATCTCCAGTGATGGAGGATACAGGCATCCAGCGAGGCATCTGGGATGGAGATGCCAAGGCTGTCCAACAATGTCTGACAGATATTTTTACCAGCGTTTACACCACCTGCGACATCCCTGAGAATGCTATATTTGGTCCCTGTGTCCTGAGCCATACTTCCCTATATGACAGCATAGCTTTCATAGCTCTCAAGTCTACTGACAAGAGAACAGTACCTTATATCTTTCGGGTAAGTCTCCGCTGGAGCTGTGTAGGTGTATGAGGGTAATGTCCTGTTGGAAATGGACTAAAAATAATTCTAATGACAAGTGGAGATAGGTTTTGCCTGTGGAAAATGCAATACAGCAAGCAATCCATTTCACACATCAAAAATTAGAAAAGGAAAATTAAACTCAAATTATTGTCAACTGATTTTTTGGAATAAATGACAAAATTTGATTTGGAATGTTAGAAATATCTAAATCAGTGCTTCAGTTCTGGTTTATCCTGGTGATGAACATGACTTCCTAAACTCTGGGAGATTTCACTGGGGCGGAGGCTATTTGCATACTAACTAGTTTCTGCAAGTTCTTTGACAAGTATTGGGTACATTTGCCTTCCATTTGAGGAGGCTACTTCATCCCCTAAATATTAGTTTCTTTGGTAATATTAGCTAATGCCCAGAGTTTGTATTTAAGTAAAAATGTTAATGGTTTTGATAGTAAAGCATCATTAAATCCATATGTCTGAATTGGAAGATAAAAGGCCTCTCATTTCCTATTCTTCTTTACAAAGAAAAGCTATTAATTGTTCGAGCCAGGATTTGGAACATGATTGCCATAGCGTAATTTCTAAGATTTAAGCTTGCTTTATTTCTGAAACAAACAAAACTCTCCATACCTTTGTAATGTGGGATAACTTAGAAGTAAACTCTCAAGACGTTAACACTAAATTCTAAGAAGAAATTTCCTCATTTAGTATTCAACCAATATACAAAAACGGTGACTTAAATGATCTGTATGATTGATGCAGTGTTTCAAAAGATGGTTATCTTGCCTACTGGTTACAAACATGAGGACAGGTCCCAGCTTGGGCCAAATTTTTGGAAGCGTGGTCTCAGATAATTTTTTGGAAAAGAATAACATAGAAGAAATGGTCTTGATTCTTCCGATTTCATTCTCTCATGAGGGTCCCTCTCCCCTCTCCTTCTTGTCTTTTTTCATCTATTTCAAACCGCAGGTAGACACCTCAGCAGCAAATGGTTCCTCAGAAGGTCTCATGTGGCTGCGGTTGGTCCAGTCGGCCAGAGATAAGGAAGAGCAGAACCTTGAAGCCTATATAAAAAACGGACAGCTGTTTTACCGCTCTCTTCGCAGGATTGCCAAAGACGAGGAGTTACTAGTTTGGTACGGGAAAGAACTGACTGAGTTACTCTTGCTCTGCCCCTCTAGATCCCACAACAAAATGAATGGTAGGTTGGCTCGCGACCGGCGTGTGGGCCCTTAACTAGCGGGGGAGAGACGCAGGGAGCGGCAGGGGCTCACACGGCGCGTTGGCGCGTCTTTCTTCCCTTTGGGTGTCTCATAGGAAGATTCTGAGATATAGTTCGGAATGAAGCTAAACAGATAGGTGAAGATAAAGCAAGGAAACTTGACTTGTTTGCTGTATTCCCCCCAAACCATGAGGGAAAGTTAGATCAGGTTGGTCATTCTTTTCTCAGGCACTCAGGCCCTGAGAAATGAAGGTGGATTTGTCAAGGGGATGGTGGCAAACTGGCTTGGGGGCGATGCTGAGTAATCATGTGGTGTGCGTGTGTGTGTGTGTGTGTGCGCGCGCGCGTGCGTGTGTGTGTGGTGTTTGCTCACTAAGCAGGGTCGTCCCCTTACACATGCCTGGAATGCAGCCAACGTTTCCAGTTTGAGTACCCCTATGTGGCGCATCTGCGTTTCCGCTGCCCCAAGAGACTTCACAGCGCTGATATAAGCCCCCAAGACGAGCAAGGCGGCGGCGTGGGCACCAAGGACCACGGGGGCGGCGGCGGCGGCGGCGGCGGTGGCAAAGACCAGCAGCAGCAGCAGGAGGCACCTTTAGGCCCGGGTCCCAAGTTTTGCAAAGCCGGTCCCCTCCACCACTACCCAGCCCCCTCCCCCGAAAGCAGCAACCCACCCGCTGCCGCCGGCGGCAGCAGCGCGAAACCATCCACAGACTTCCACAACCTGGCCAGGGAGCTGGAAAACTCCCGGGGAGGCAGCAGCTGCTCCCCAGCCCAGAGCCTCAGCAGTGGTAGCGGCAGCGGCGGCGGCGGCGGCCACCAGGAGGCGGAGCTGAGTCCCGACGGCATCGCCACGGGCGGGGGCAAAGGAAAGAGGAAATTCCCGGAGGAGGCGGCGGAGGGCGGCGGTGGCGCGGGTCTGGTAGGCAGCCGGGGCCGCTTCGCAGAGCGGCCCCTCCCGGCCTCCAAGGAGGATCTGGTGTGCACACCGCAGCAGTACCGAGCCTCGGGCAGCTACTTCGGCCTGGAAGAGAACGGCCGCCTCTTCGCGCCGCCCAGTCCCGAGACGGGCGAGGCGAAGCGCAGCGCCTTCGTGGAGGTGAAGAAGGCGACCCGCGCGGCCGGCCTGCAGGAGGAGGGGACCGCCGACGGCGGGGGCGTCGCCTCCGAGGACCAGGACGCTGGCGGCGGCGGCTCCTCCACACCCGCGGCCGCGTCGCCGGTAGGCGCCGAGAAGCTGCTGGCCCCGCGGCCCGGGGGCCCGCTGCCCAGCCGGCTCGAGGGCGGCAGTCCTGCGAGGGGCAGCGCCTTCACTTCGGTGCCGCAGCTGGGCAGCGCGGGCAGCACCGGCGGTGGGGGCGGCACGGGCGCCGGGGCCGCAGGCGGCGCGGGCGGGGGCCAGGGCGCCGCGTCGGACGAGCGCAAAAGCGCCTTCTCACAGCCAGCACGCTCCTTCTCGCAGCTGTCCCCGTTGGTGCTGGGCCAGAAGCTGGGCGCGCTCGAGCCATGCCACCCCGCCGACGGCGTGGGCCCCACCAGACTCTACCCCGCCGCCGCGGACCCTCTAGCGGTGAAGCTCCAGGGGGCCGCGGACCTGAACGGAGGTTGCGGGTCCCTGCCTAGCGGCGGCGGGGGCCTACCTAAGCAGAACCCCTTCCTGTACGCCACCGCGTTCTGGCCCAAGAGTTCCGCTGCCGCTGCAGCCGCAGCTGCTGCGGCGGCCGCGGGGCCTTTGCAGCTGCAGCTGCCCTCGGCGCTCACGCTGCTGCCGCCCTCCTTCACCTCGCTGTGTCTGCCCGCGCAGAACTGGTGTGCCAAGTGCAACGCCTCCTTCCGCATGACCTCCGACCTGGTGTACCACATGAGGTCGCACCACAAAAAGGAGTATGCGATGGAGCCCTTGGTAAAGCGTCGGCGAGAGGAGAAACTCAAGTGCCCCATCTGCAATGAGTCCTTCAGGGAGCGCCACCACCTCTCCAGGCACATGACCTCGCATAATTGACTCGGAAAGGACCCCAGCTTTCCGCGCGCGCGCACGCACAGTCAAGCCACCTGCAGGAATAAACACGCGAGAACATCCACCGCTTCCTTGCACCCCGAAACACTGCACAAAGACACATACATTCACCACTCCCCCCCAACGCGCACACACGTCCTCCCCTTCCGGGAACTTCATTCAACTATTTACCCGGGACACACACACCCACCCACACACACACAGACACACACAAACAAGAGCCAGGATGGTGGATTTTTGATTGGGTGGGTTGTTTGAGGGGGTTTTCTTTTGAATGCACGCATTTTCACTTTCCCCAAAACAAAGGTACATTTTTAAAAATGTCATATATTGCAACATATTGATGCATTTGTCATACGTTTCTACTTAAATTATTAAGCACTTACGATTTAGATGTAATAATTATATGTAAGGGCAAAATTTATTTTAGATATAAAGTAAAGGAGGAGGGCGAGATGCTTTCTGCATTTCTTGATGATAGTTTGTGTTCTTACAAAAATAAACAAAATGAATAAAAAGGGGTCGCCATTCAATTTGAGTTTCCAGGGGGAAGTGCATGTATAATGAAATGGTTATGGACTTCAATGAAGAATGTCATCGATTATGTAAATATGTATTTCCTTTTAATACAAAGTGTAATTTTGTGCCAGTGAAATGGAGTCTGAATAGTTATGTGTTTCTTTTATCCCTGGAAATATTTATTAAACTTTATAGTTTATCGGAGTATGTTGGATGCTTTGACAATAAATGACTATTTTCTTCAAAGCAAATATTTGGAAAGTTTTTAAATTTTATTGTTGTAACTAAGGAGTATACTTTGAGTAAATGTCATTTATTTTCACTGAATTCCTGAAAAGAAGGGAAGAAACAGCATAAGAGAGGAATGATAAACCTGGCACCATTTGCATTTATTTACTCTAAGCCAATTTTGAGCCTAAAAGAAGGTAAGTTTTTATTATCACTTCGAAAATATTTAGCTGGAAAGTGTTGCACCTCTTGATCAAAGACAAATCATTTAGACAAAGATGCCTGCCATGCAGCTAACCTGTCACTGGGACACCAGCATTCTTTTCAGCAGCAGGATAATTAGTATCTTCACAAATGGCCTGAGACAAATAATGTTCAGGCTGGGATCTGTGAGACCAGATGAAAAGCCCACTTTAGGTTCTACTAGTGATGGCTACATAGAAGGGTATCTTGTACTCTAATGTCATTACAATGGCATTCTGTCATAATCTATTTAGAGATCCTGTGGGGGAGTTTCCCTAAAAACCAAGGTGAAATGACCATAGTTTGATCATGGTCTATGTATTGCAAGGCCCAGCTTTCCTTATAAAGGCATTGACAACTGCACAGCCTCTGCAAAAAAAGTGTCCTGAAACGTTATAATACAGAAAAACCTGACAATTTCCCTCCTCTTTCTACTCTTCCCTCTGTGAAAAGTACTTCTGTACTCTTTACATACTGATAATAATTCTTAGTTAAATATTGAGTGTACAAAGTCTAGGTGTATGTGATGCGACCAGTAACCATTAGACATAAAACCAAATGAACAATGATCCTTTAGGCCTTAGGATAGCATGCACTTAATCCATAGGCATCTTCATAGTCACTCTGGAAACAGGCACTACAGTGGTTTAGCTATCACAGGAGTTGTGTCATTTTTTTCCCTCTTTCTTCACATCCTGAAGACTCTCCCCTATATAGGAAGATGGATACTTGTGAAAAGATCTGACATGGGAAGTTGTATACAAGGTCTCATTACAGGCTTTGCAATGGTTTTCCCTAACAGGATATTAAAGCCTTCATTATTTTAGGACCTCTACAAAGCAAGTTATGATTAGGGCAGGGAGCAGGTTAAGAGTAAGTATAGAGCAAAATGATGTACCTATTGGGAATGTGACCTAGATTGCTAAAAAAGCAGGTGTTGTTCTTTAAGATCATGCAATTTTTTTTTCTTTCTTTCTTTTTTTTTTTTTTTTGCTACGTTTCTTTGAGGCCTGCTCTCAGTTTTCCTAGGTAACATGTGGACACTAATCCCCAGCAAGATGTGGTGAGAACCGTCCAAAATTCTAATTCTACCTCTGCTATTCACAACTAGTGTGACCCTGCATCTTTGTTGACATAATTTGATTTATTTGCAGCTTGGTTTTCTCATCTGTAAAATAAGCAAAGCAGGTTCTATTATTTTTTGAAAGTACTTCTAGCACTGGGAAATATTTTTTTTCCCTGATGAGTTAATCAGGCTCCAATTGAACACAAAGAGGTCTTTCTAGAGAAGGGTCAAGATTGTGAAGGATATTTGATGACAAGAAGTAAGGAAGCAAATTGAAGGCAAATTTGGAGGCAAATTGAATCAACAGATCCTTAAATTGCAATGGCTGACAGGCAGACTAAATTGTCCATGTCTGGGACACTAGATCTCTGGAGCAAAAATCTCTCAAAAAGAAACAAACAAGCAAACAAACACAGCTTATCCTAGGCCTTTCAAAAAAAAAAAAAAAATCTTGAATGCCCTTTTCCTTTCTATCTGATCCTTCTGGAATCTCCTTTTCAGGAAAGCAGCTTTACTTTCCACTGAGGATTCAGATAGGGATGAAATGAGGTCTAGAAAAAGGTAAATATTGCTTTTTGAAATTGACTTAGTTATAGGCTGGAATAATATTTTCTCAAGAGTACATGTAGACGCTTTGCCACGAGTAGGCACTCGGTGAGCCTCCCCTGTGTTTTCTTTTGTACGGTCATTAACTTAATCATAGGATCAGGAAGAAAGCCGAGCCTTGGCTGAGCTACTGTCCAGGCGATCCAGGTAGGTGTGTTAGTGGCAGACACTTTCGGGCTGGGTAGCTATGCTGTTCAGCTGTTCAATCTGCCCACAAGACCATTTTGGCGGGAAGTAGTAGAGGAAGGGTGCCCAAAGCTACTTTTGCCTTCATCCAAGGCAAACTCAGAAATGTTTTATTTTAATACTGCATTTTCAAGCTTTCAGAGGTATATCATAACCCTCTCCTGCGTCTGAACCTTCTCAGAGGGGAGTTTCTAGGATTTTATAACTCCACCCGTCTGCTAAACTAGTTGAGGTCACTCACAACTGAGGAGAAAATGAGGTCACAGTGTCATGCAGACATGAAGCCAAGTTGGTCCCACGATGTCCAGGCAGGTGGCCAGACTTCCAGTGCCCGAACCGTAGGTCCTAAAGACGGGACATTGAAAGCCAAGCGGTTGCTGCACCAGCATTTGTTGCATCCCAATCAGTGGAAGAATGTCCAGGACTGAAGCTGCACTTGGGGTCAGAGAACTCCAGGCGTGTCTGCCCAGAAGATTCCGAGTCTCTGGCCTCATTTGCCTCTCTACTTCTCCCAGGCCTTTGTGGGTGGGGGCCACCTGTACTTCCCAAGATGTGCTTGCAGGGTACCCCTGACGCCCACAGGCATGTGGAAACTGGAAGGCCTGGGAAGGGACACACACATCTTTCTTTCCAGGCCTTGGTGAGCCAAGGTGGAAACCGGACGCTCTTCGGGAAAGTTCCCAAGGTCCCAGCGACCCACTCATAAGCTCTGCGGCCGTACGACGCCCAAAGTCCAGCTTGTTACAGCCTCAGTCGTGAACGGGCTAGTTGTAAGCACAGGTGCGCAGTGTGGGAGAGGGAGTCTCTCTCCTGCGGTCCTCACTGCCGGGCTCCCAGCCCCTGGCCCGCGCTGCCGTTTCTTTAAGTTTGTTTTCTTAGGCGCCCTGCCCAGGGAACATGACCCTGATCGGGGAAACCTTGAACACCCAGGGCCAGTCACATTGAGAAAAGGGCTGGGAAATGCAGTTCTCCTCCTCCGCTCCCATTCCAAGGGCAGGATCTCCGAGGCAGCCTCTTCGCGCGGTCCGGCGCTTGCCATCTCTCTCTCCACCGCCGGTCCGCCCGGACTTTCCTCCGCCCTTCTAGGGCGGTGCAGCCTGCTCAGGTGCAGGAGACAGTGCGCCACTCAAGCGCTGGGACCAGAAGAAAGATTCAGCCAGGACGCGGAGCGCCGCGGAGGCTTGGAGTGCGACGAACATCCTTAGGGAAGTGTTAAATTTTCTCTTTTCTTCTCCCTTTGTCCAATCCCATGTCCTGGAATCAATTCTGCTCATTCTATGGCAGCTCCCATTTCTTCTTCCCTTAGATCCTCCGCACCTCCACACTTTTCCGTCTCTGAAGCACTTCTGGAGCTCTTCATCACCAAAGGAACTTTCTGGAAAAAAGTTCCTTTGGTGACTCTTCACCATCCACTAGGCAACTGACTGCTAAGGTTGCGGTACCAGTCCAGAGGGAGACTGCACTGCTGCGCCGTCAATTAGCTGAGCACCAGGATGACCTCAGCACCCAGGGATTGAAAGAGATGGGCAGGCGCCAAAGCCCTCCTGCCCTCAAATGCACACACACACTCCACACACCACACATAACACACGACATACCACATACACGCACCACACACCACACACTGACACACCCACACAAACACACCACATACACCACGCGCACACTCTGCACACCACACACACACACCACACACACCAAACACCACATACACACACCACACACACACTCCACACACCACACACACTCCCCACCACACACACACCACATACTCACACCACACCACAAACACACACTCCACATACCACACACTCCACACCACACACGCACTACACCACACACACACACCACAGCCACACACACCACACACACACCACATACACCACACACACCACACACCCCATACTCACCACATATACACACACACATGGCACATACCACATACACCACACCACCACACATACACAACACACCACACACATACACACCACATACACACACCACACACGCACCACACATACCACACACACCATGCATCACACCACACATAGACACACATCACACATACACACCACACACACCACACATACACACACACCACACACACACCACACACACAGTACATACACACACCACACACTACACACATACACACAAAGCCACACACACCACACATACACCGCCCCCCAATACACACACACACACACACACACACACACACACACAACCCAGCTGCCTCCTGAACACTTTCTCCCAGCTTGGAAATTTCATTTTCTTCTCCAAGGTGAAATATGACCTCAAAGGGGTGTGGAAAATTTAGCCTGCCTAAGAGCTAAACTAGGATTGGGGTGAGAAGGTGGGCCACTCTCTTTTCCTCCTCCAAATGCATTTTATTTGACAGAAGGCCCAGAACGTTGAGGCAGAAACATATGCCTCGGGCTGGTGGGCCTGAATGATTGCCTTCTGGCTTTGTAACCTGACGGGGCAGGAGCCGTGGAGCTCTTTGCCTCTCTGCCTCATGGATCATATTCCTAAGGCAACCTCTGCTTTTCCCACTTTAGATATGGAACTTAGAACTTTTTAGAAACCTGTATTCACTACAGGACTAGTCAATAAGAAACTGAAAAAAAAATTTAATTCTTTTATTTTAATCTTTAGGATTAGAGGTCTGGCACAGGTGTTCTACTTGAATAGCGAACCTGGTTATGCTGATTATTATTTACCGACTCTTTTCAATTGGTGTGAGCACTAGAATATAAATCTATGCATATGTGCAGGCATGTGCCTGTATGTTCAAATATGTAAGTATATATTACAAACTGACACACATATTTATATATACAAACATACGTATACATTTTAATCCACACTCAGGC